TTCCTCTTTTAATATGTTTATCGACGAATGAAAATGTCGGTTTTTAAAAAAAATCAATAAATGTTAGATTTAAATTAATAAAACTTTAGTTCAAACATACTTATAACTTTTATTTTAATAAAAAACTTAATAGTAAACAATATCTATAAAGTCAATTATTTTTTCGAATTCAAGTCAGAAATAGTAAAAGTAAGAACTTGTAAATCCGGACCCGCTTTTCCGCCATTTTAATAAGTACATAAGACACGTCTACCGATCCTAATTTTGTATATAAAAAATAGTTACATTTGACTTATCCTTAGGTTTCTTTATCAATGATTTGTTATTTAACGCTGTTACAGAACAATAAATCCTGTCTCTGTTGTTCATCAGTTGCACTGCATACGTTCCTACGTTAGAACGTCATTCACTTGTCACTTTTCAGACCGCCTTTACTATGTGGCAGCCTTAGTAATGAAAAATGTTACTTGCTTGGCATCATCCGTATTTATTAATATTTTCATTGAATTTTGATATTTAATTTTTTATACAAACATGTCATTCCGTTCCTTATACTAAAAATATATTTACAATTTACAACTTTATTTAAAGAAAAAAGATCCCAGTCTGCTTCAAAGAAGTTAAAAAAGAAATGGTCCTCTAGTCCTGACGTGATCCCCAGTACAATAATTAAAAAAAACATTTTTAATTTTAACTTTTTTTTGCAGTTTTTAATAAATTATTTAAAATATTTTATCTGATGCAATCTATTCACATGTAAAGAATACAATTTGTGAATACTAGCATGGCTACAAATTTTTGCATTTTTTCTCAATATATTTAATCCTCTGTTGACTGCCATCAACAAGTCGATGTGACAGTCAAATTATTAGAAAACATTCTAGGTTTGACATTTCATCTATCAAATCTTTCCTACTTCGAGAGTTCCTCAGTGATCAAATTTAGGGCCATTTATTTTTATTTTACTTATTATTGATATCAAAAAAACAAATACTGCATCAGAAGATAAATTTATTTAAGCGGTACAATTTATATCGTCAGGATTTCACTAGCTCATAGTTTATGGAAAAAATAAAGTTACCTGGTCTCAATACACTATGATTCAATTTTGCTTTTTTTATGTACAGGGTTCAGGTATACAGAGACGAGCAGAATTGATAGTTTTAATTTGTTACTCAAATCAAAGTGAGATACAAAAAAAAATAAGAGGCAAAAATTGTATTTTTAATTATGAACAGTTAAAAAATCTACTGGGCTATATTTTTGGTGTCGAACACTAATATAAATACGTCTCTGGAATTACTGGATCAACTGCAACAAACTGTGAAAATTTTATTAAAATTGGTGAAACCTTCTTTTTAGGTATTAATAAAAATTATTTGAAAAAAAAAAAACATATACAGATCCATCCACGATACTACGAACACGGTCAAACTGATGACCAATTTACCCTTGTCCGCTACTGTCATTCCAAAGCTTTCGCATGTGACATATTTGGAATAACTTTATACATTTCACGACAGAGTTGAGTATTAATGAATATTTTATAAATAAATGAAGATAAAGAACAAACATAACATATTCAGACATGAAAATAGCGAAATTTAATAATGCAACCATCAACCAGAATTTGTAATAATAGACAAAATTTTGAACTTTAACTTTAATAGTTGTTGACGTAGAGCAGTGGGTAAGGTGTTGTACTTACAGTCTACCTACGCGGATAGAGGTAGGATCGAATCTCGGCGCCGACGCTTTTTTTTCTTTTTTTTTATTTTATTAATTTTCATTTTCTTTTTTCATTTCTTTTTTTTCTCTTTTTTTGAGACCCTCCACAATAGTAAGAACAGCAACAGTTTAAAATTTATAAAAAACAACTTTGATTTTGTTTTCAAATGGAAAAAAATTCAATACAAACATTAAAAAATAGAGAACAAACATTGAACATTAAAAAAAAAACAAAACGAACTTTAAAAAATTACATAACTAAGATTAAAAAAAAATACAAAACTAAGATTAAAAAATTACAAAAAAATAAAAATTATAAAATGGAATCCAATAGACAATAATAAATTACAATCAATAATAAAAGAACACGAATTTATTTTTAATGTAATAGGTGCTCAAATAGACCTCCTTCTTGGGCAAGACAGTACCCCAAGCGATCGTAAAATGATCGCCTTACTTCAGCCAACATATTGGGACTAATAAGTTGAACGGCTTCTGAAATTTTCACTTTCAGCTCATCTAAGTCGTTAGCTCTTTCTTCCCTGAATTTGTATATCTAAGACTTTAAATAACCCCACAAAAAAAATCACAAGGTGCGAGATCCGGCGATCTAGCTGGCCACAGAATTGTACCTTTCCTTGATAATAATCTGTTGGGAAATGTTTCATTTAAAAAGTGCTGCACCGTCACACGATTATGCACAGAACATCCGTCTTGTTGAAACCAAATATTGTTAAATCGAGCTCCTGCCAATCGCCGTATCTCAGGGACAATATGGTGTCTGAGCAAATCCAAATATTTAACACTATTTAAATTACCCTCAATATAAAAAGGACTGATTACATTTTCACCTAGTATTCCCATCCAAACATTCAACTTTTGCGGGAACTGCGTGCGAACTGTTACAAATTTATGTAAATTTATCGAGACCAATATCGGACTTGGGATGGATTATGCCTGGCAAGTAATGGAAAAGTCGACTCATCGGTGAACACAACATTGTAAAGAAAATTGTTGTCATTGTTAACTTTATCCATTACTGCCTCGCTAAATTCCATTCGTCTGATATTGTCAGTTTCATAAATTTCTTGGCATTTTCTTACTTTATAAGATCGATATCCATGTTTTTTAAAATTCTATTTACTGTGGTTTCACTGGAACCTACAACTTCCACAACCTCTCTCTGAGATATCATCAAATTTTCTTCCACAGTTGCACAATTCATAATCTTCTTGTTCATTCTGATTATTATTAACTCGAGCCTTTTTATGTTCATTGGGAGAAACGCAGCCATGAATTTCAAAATTTTGAACAATACGATGTACTGTTGAGAGTGATGGTATGGGCCCATATTTTTAAATGTGGCCTCAAACAAACCGCTTATTTGTCGAATTGTGTTGCCTTGAAAATGCCATTTCACAATTTGTACTTTCTCAGCAATTTCGTAAACATTCATTTTAAATCTAAAGAAATACTTTTCGCCCGCGATAAAAGCACAAAATTTGAATGTGACAGTTGCGGACAAGCGCCAATTGGTCATCATGTTTACCATGTTCCTAGTACGATGGATGAATCTGTATAGGTAAGTACATATTGTACATTAAAAAGGAAACAAAATTAAACAAACTACAGTTCATCAAATTTCTAGAGGTGTTCGACGCCCAGACAGAGAACGCGCTACGTGTGACTAAGATAGCTATTGTACAGTCTGCTAAACAAGTTATTTTAAATAGTTTTTAATATTTTTAGGTAATTAAATTTTAAAAGTGTGGAATAGTTTAGGGATTAAATTGGTCTGATTGGACTTTCTTAGAACGTTTTTAAAAGCAGCTAAAGATAGTATGTAGAATTGAAAATAATTATTATGCCATAAAAGGTGTTTTGGAATTCCTTCAACCTTTTGAAATTGAGTCAGAACATATAGATTTTATAGGATAGCGGAAAATACCTATAATTTTTTTGTAGGCCTTTGTAAATCGTGGAAATAGTTTATATTTTATTTCTACCTTATTAAGGAAAATGGTACCTATTATTAATAACGGTTGTTTCTGAAACATTACTAAAATTTTCGAAATTTTATTTTTCTACAAAATAATGAACTATACTATTTAGAAAAAAATTTATTTCTCTTATAATTTTATAAAAAATAACAGGGGAATATTTACATTTCTTGATCTATTAAACAAAACGATAAATTATCTCGACGAATGACACCATGTTCTAGTACGGAAGCTAGTTTACATTTTTGTTGGTGGTTTCATGGGTTTCATATCAATTTTTTGTAATTGTAGTTTACACGTACATATACCTCTTAACACTTGTTTGCTTTATTAAAAAAGTGTGTTGTTGTGATTTACGTCGAAATAAGTCAAAAACAACTTGAAACCCCATATAAAATCAAAAAGGAGAAACGGAAAAAAATTGAGCCTGTAAATGAACACAACTCAGAAACAAAAATAGCTATCTAATAATAAAAAAATAAAATTTGATTCTTGTGCAGCTTCATCTATATCATTAACTGTTTTTGGTTTTTTAATGGTTTTTCTTGGTGATGAAAATTCCGATATCTCACGGTTATCGATTCTTTTTTCTCTCCAGAAATGCGGACGACAGTGTTTTTAGATACTCCTGTGGCTGCAGCAACACGATCATTTACATTTTTAAATGGTATTGAAGGTGAATTAAAGTTTCCTTCTCTTCTCATAAACTCTATAACATTGGCTATTATTTCGCGAGATTGACTGTTAATCACGCGGCCTCTTAATTTGCTATTAAACTCCATACTTAGGTTCTATTAAACTGTAATGAGCAAAAAACACAAACGAAAATAAAAGAAATGTTTTAGCGAAATTTACATCTGACATTTACGTCTGAATGAAATAGTGAAATACTTGATGCGCAGAGTGTACTTTCATTGCGTAAATCCGTCGGGATGCCTGTCAGTAGTGCTTTCTCTGTCTAGCCGTCGAAAGCCTCTAGAAATTTGATGAACTGTACTTTTATTTTTGACCATAAACCACTAGAAAATCCTGAGGATATAAGCTGGATCACCCTAACTATAACTACAATTTGGACAATTTAATACGAGTTACTGAGGCAAGGGATCTTTGTGTTTTATTTGACCAGTAACTAAGTTTGCCTTACATATCGTTAATCGTGCAATTAAGTATGGGGGCTTTTGATTAAGAATTTAGTTCCTAAGATGGCTAATTTTACACTAACAGCATGTGAATACTTGACTAATCAACCAGGCCCAAACGATCTCAAAAAGTTGATTTATCAAATTTTCAGGAAATACTTCGACACATTTTTATGACGATGAGAGAAGGATTCAAATACAAAATTCTGCTAATTGTATTTGTCATCGTCTTGCATGCCAAAAGCAGCAGTTGCCAAAGAAATGAACTGAAGAGATTCCAAAACATAATAAAAGAAACAGCCACAGTAAGTACTTAAAACTCTAAAACATACAAATAGATGATAGTGGGACGAACAGATAAGTTCAATTGGGGTACGAATTTTAAAGCGAGCCGCGCATGTCGTCATTGCGTGACAAAAATGTTGGTGATATATGGGGACGTTTAGCTTTTAACTGTATTTTTGTTTAAAAAATTGTTAAAGTATTCGTTATGAATGTTTTATATTATATTATTTAAATATGTAAAATAAAAACAAGTCAATAGTCTAAAATCCGAAGTAAGGTCAACCTTCACCCATTTATAGTAACAGACTTTAATAATTTTTTTATTAACGCACCTTTAAAATTAGTTGATCAAATAGACCTATCAAGTAAAATAAACAAACCTTTTGGAAAATATTTTAATAAAAAATCAATGTTCTTATTACCATTTGCAGAAATTGAATTATTAAATTTATTAAATAAAAAATAAAAAAATAAAAAATCACCAGGTGCAGACGATGTGCCCAGTTATATTATAAAAAAGTCACTCAAGGATATTCTAGCCCCGCTGACATATTTAGTAAACTACTTACAGGTAAAGTGTTGCCATTATACAAAAAAATGATTCGATGTCATTGGAAAATTATAGGCCTGTGACAGTCCCCTGTGGATTATCTAAGATATTCGAATATGCATTTCTAGATCGCCTTTTATCATTTTTAAAACGACATCAAATTGTCACAAAAAATCAACATGGATTTTGCGCAGAAAAGTCAACAACAACAGCTATGATCTCATTTTATAATCAGATTATTGAACATATTGAAGCAGCCGAGTGTCCTGTGGCGATATTCTGTGATTTAAGTAGGGCATTCGACTGCGTGAATCATGAATTATTATTATCTGTACTGGAGACATATGAAATTAGAGGAAATTCTTTAAAATGGATCTCCACCTTTCTTAAAGAACGACAGCAATATGTATCTCTAAACTTTAAAATAGATAAAAAAAACTAAAGAAATTAACTCTAATCTTTTAGATACACATATGGGAGTACCACAAGGGTCAATATTGGGGCCAATATTGTTTATTTTATATGTCAACAGTGTAGATCATTTAATAGGTAATAATCATTATGTTGCATACGCTGACTTTTCTGTGATAATATCATCAAATAACAGCGATGAGTTAAAAGTTAAAAGCTCTTCTCTTTTACAAAAAATTTCTAACCATTTTAATAGTTTAGATTTGTTTTTTAACACTAATAAAACAGGCCTCATTAGGTTTCATAACAGGCAGAATATTCTAGATGATTTTAGCGTTTATGTAGGTAATTCCAGTATTGATAGTACACGCGAAAGCGTTCGTTTTCTTGGTATTCATATTGATGAATTTCTTAATTGGAAGTATCACTGCAGTAAAATTGTAGGAAAAATGAATTCGCCAAAATATCTTTTTATTAATTTACGAGAGGTGCTGCAATCTCATCAACTTGTTAGTGTTTACTTTGCTCAAGTCGACTCTCGACTTAGGTATGGAGTATGTCTCTGGGGTAATTCTACAGATGCTTCTAACTTTTTCACTGCACAAAAGCGAATAATACAATGTATAGCTAACATTTCACAAAGCATGTCCTGTAAACCATATTTTAAAAACTATGGAATACTCCCACTTCCATCTTTGTATATTTTTGAAATTTGCGTGTACATCTTTAAAAACAAAAGTTGTTTTATGACTAACAGAGATGTTCCTAGTTATGTTATTAAACAAGACAAGTTGATGAAGTTCACGTTCCTTATGCAAGGTTGCACATTAGTTCCAACGCACCAAATTTTCTGGGTCCAAAATTGTTTAATAAACTCCCAATTAAAATAAAAAATGTGCAAATAATAATATGTTTAAAAATAATTTGAAAATGTATCTCCTGAAAAAACGTTTTTATTCCTTAGCTGATTTTTTATATTTTTAGTATTTTAATTTGTTTAGAATTATAGCGTGATTGTATTTAGTATTTTTAATTTTATTTTATGTATTTATTTAGATTTAACCTTATATTTATTGACGAATCTTATACAATTGTAATTATTGTCTTATGGAAAATAAAGAATTATTATTATTATTATTATTATTATTAATGGATGAATGTTTCTTTTTATTAAATAAAATATGTTTATAAATATACCGCAAATGGGTTGCCTAAGAAAATACGGTCCAGACTATTTATTTTCTTAAAGTAAAAAAAAAACGATTCCCCAGATGCTTCGACTATGTCCAAACTTTAATCAGCTCACCGCAGGATGTATTAAAGCTTAAGTTAAAACATTTGATGTTTTTCTCTTCATTCGTTTCTGAATTATCTTCAAAAATTCGAAATTTGCACTTTTCCTCAAATATCTCGAATTAGGTCCATTCCAGGGAAATCATGTATGGGGACGAAATAATAAAGAATAACATTATAAGCAACTTTTTTCATGATTCCTATACTTTCCTTATCTGTACACAGATAGGAAAGTAAAAAAATGGCCGTGACCATAGGCAACCCATTTGTAGTATATTTAAAAACATATTTTACTAAATAAAAAAAAAAACTTTTATCCAATAAACAGATGAGTGAAGGTCGACCTTATTTACGGATCCTGGACTACAATGTTCACAATATAATTCATTTATTCAATAGAAAAAACAAATGTTTAATTTATTTACATGATATTTTTGTGTGTTTGAAAAAACTTCTTACTTATAAACAAATAATTTATATTCACTATTATAATAAATCAATTTAGGCTTTTTATAATACCTAGTTTTGTTTGCACAGTACAACGTATGGATAAAGAACTTTTTGTAATTAATTTTGGAAAATAGTTTTATGATTAATTTTTTAAATATACAGGGTGTACCAATAAAAACTCCCAGGCCGGATATTTTGGTAAGTAATAGAGATATTTTAATTCTGTAAAATTGATTTTAAATAGGTCAATATATAGATGGCGCTGCGCTCAATAATTTTTTTTTCTATGGGAAGATCTTTCTTGTGTAGCGCATCTTGTAAAAAATGCATTTTTAAGCAGATTTTGTTCTATGAACTAATTTGATAAATCTAGCCATTTTTTATATACAGAGTGGGTCAAAACAGTTTCAACCTGTTTTTCTACATTTATCATTACATTTTAAGAAAATGTTAAAACAGGTCGATTTTTATTCCAAATTAAAATCAATTTTACAATATAGACATCTGTCATGTGTCAACCCTTTCCCTTGCACTTCTCCAACATCTTAATTTTAAATAGGTAATGTACCATGTATGGCACATCACTGAAAAGGTAATTTAATGGGGATTCAGAAATATTTCTGTACATTACGCTACTTAAATTTTATCGCCCTCTAGCGGGATGAAAAACTACTACGTATTATAGAGTGTGACACTACAATGTGTAGTACATTATTAAAAAGGTAATTTTATGTGGAATTTAAAAATATGACTGTTCATTGCGTTACTTTTAATTGTACCGCCCTCAATCGGGATAAAAAACTACATATTATAAAGTGTGATACCTTATTTGAAAGCAAATTTAATTACTAATTCAATGCACTACATAACATTAATATAAATATCCTCCATATTGCACTTGCAATAGTTTGAAAATTAGTGATGCATTATTATTTTAAACATTATTGCTAACTTTATTTTGTTGCAAGTGCAATATGTAAATATTTATATTAATGTTATGTAGTGCATTGAATTAGTAATTAAATTAGCTTTCAAATGAAGTACCACATTTTTTAATACGTTACAGGTTTTTAATCCCGATTGAGGGCGCTAAAATTCCCTTTTCAGTGATGTATCATATATGGTACATTCCTTATTTAAAATTAAGGGGTTGGAGAAATGGAAGGGAGGGGGTTGACACATGACATATGTCTGTATTGTAAAAATGTGTTTAATTTGAAATAAAAAACGACCTGTTTTAGCATTTTTTAAAAATCTAATGATTAATGCCAAAAACAGGATGAAACTGTTTTGAATGACCCACTCTGTATATCTAGATTTATCGAATTAGTTTATATAACAAAATTTGCTTAAAAATGCATTTTTTATAAGATGCGCTATATAAGAAAGATCCTCCCATCGAAAAAACAATATTGAGCGCAGCGCCATCTACATATTAACCTATTTAAAATTAATTTATATCTAAAATTGAATCTCCCTTAGCGCTCTATGAACTGGCTTCTACAGAATTAAAATATCTCTATTACTTACCAAAATATCCGGCCTGGGAGTTTTTATTGGTACACCCTGTATTGGTAAAGGTTTCTCATTTTGTACTCATGATGTACAAATTTATTGTTTTCTATATTTATTTGACTATTTTTGAAATTTTGCGCTTTCTCATTTTTGAGATACTTTTATCAAGAATTCTTATTTTAAAATACATTACATGACTTTCCTATCTAGTTATTATAGGCTTTTTCCGGTTATTTTGTACAACTTATTGCAGCACGTCTATAAATGTTTAGAGGATAAACTAAATATATTTTCCACATACATCTACCTCGAAACATTTTTCTATAAATATTCATTGAAAACGAAAATACTGAAAAATTTTAATTTAGCACTTTTCCTACAATTTTTCCATTACGGTCCATTTTAGAAAAATTATAGAGATCGATATCGCAAATAACTTTTAGCTCAACAATTTTCATAAATTTTGACATAAAACAAAAATTATAGATGTTTTAGAAGTAACTTTTATTTGAACAATTTTTTTCTCCAAACTAAATAACAGATATATTTCATAAAATATAAAAACGGCCTCCCATACAGTACCCCCCAGATGTTCCGACTTTGTCCAAAATCTAATCATTTCACGTCAGGCCGAAATAAAATTTAAGTTTAAGATTTAATGTTTTTGTCTTTATCCGTTTTTGAGTTTTCTTCAAAATTCGAAATTTACACATTCTTTTACAAGTAAAACTCGTCTCGATTTGAAATTGTAGTAATACTTGTTCAACAATAGCCAATAAGCCTTGCTTCAAGATTAAAATCAACTTGACCTAACTAAAATACCTCTAATTAAATGAAGAGTATCTATTGCTCAAATGAAGTATTATGTACATCTTAAATGAAATAGTTTTACCCTTTTTTTAATTATACTTTATATTCAATAATACCTTGTTCTTAAATCCAATACATCTAAATTTGTTTCAATAATAATATGAACTCTTCCAAGAAATGTTAATATTGGCTTTCACATAAATAAGGTAGTTTTATTGAAGAAATTAATAATCTTGAAATAAGAATGGGCTGTTCTTGCTTTTTAATAGAGTTCTCACTGGTACCTATCCATTGAAAAACATTTTTCAAAATTGTTTTTAGTTAAAGTACCAAATTTCTCTGTCCTCTGAGGTGTCCTACCTATAATTAAAAATAATAAATAATTTTATAACTACAAAACCTAAATGGAACATAAAAGTTTGTCTTGCTAAGAGGTCGTATCTACAAAATGAATATTTTTAGTAAATGTGGGTAGGTAGATAATTACGTCCTTTTAAACTTCGCAAATAAGTTTTATATATTTTACTAACCTTCTTTATAATTATAGTAAATATTTTCTAACGCAAAGGGACCTTTATTATTTTGTGTCATAATAAAATAAAATGTAATCCTATTAAATTTATAGAATCTTGAAATCGAAATTTTTGTAGATACGACCTCTTGTCTTAGCAAGGCAGAAGTCGTTTTTTCAAAAAGTTGTCATCCAGCATCATACATTTTTTTTACTTCTATTCTAGTTTGTTTCGTGTTCTTTTGATTACAAATGTACTTATATATAATACCAAACAAGAAGTGAACTAAATATACTTACATTTAAACATTGGTATCAGGTCGCTGAGGTCCCATATACCTAACAAATCATCCATTTCAATTTAATTTATTCATACACTTATTAATTGAATAATAAAGAATTTATAACACGCTAGAAGACTACGTCATAGACAGGGATGACGTTTTAGCGTGTACCTACGTTTTCAATTGCGTGCACGTTAGCATGCACCTAGACACAGCGTTTTAAGTCACATTCGGGAACTTGTAATGATGGTGTAAAATGACATTTTTTTTTTAATTTTAGGATGTAAAAAGAAATAAATACCAGTATATCATAAAACGTTGTACGATACATGCCCGTTACCTAATCTCTACATGCTCACACGGTCATATAACGACCCTGCTCACATGTAAATATCTAGGTAACGGGCTTATAATGTAAACTACTATTACCGGTCTAGCCCGTTATGACTCCCTTATCAACCATAACCAGAGATTGGTTACCACGGTATATCATAAAATCCATTTTACTAGAACTACAAAATACGAATAAATTTGGCAATGTTGCATAAATCGTTCTCTCCGTGTTACGGCTTTTGTTATTCCTGTCGATCTGTACTTATAGTCTAAGATCCGTAAGTAAGGTCGACCTTCACCCATCTGTTTAATGGATGAAAGTTTTTTTTTATTTAATAAAATTTATTTTTAAATATACCGCAAATGGGTTGCCTAAGAAAATACGGTCACGGCCATTTTTTACTTTCCTTTCTGTGTACAGATAAGGAAAGTATAAGAACCATGATAAAAGTTGCTTATTATATCATTCTCTATTATTTTGTCCCTATGCATGATTTTCCTAAAATAGACCTAATTCGAGATATTTGAGGAAAAGTGCAAATTTCGAATTTTGAAGATAACTCAAAAACGGAAGAGAAAAACATCAAATTTTAAACTTAAGCTTTAATCCATGCTGCGGTAAGCTGGTTAAAATTTGGGCATAGTTGAAGCATCTGGGGAATACATCTCGTTTTTTTTTACTTTAAGAAAATAAATAATCTGGACCGTATTTTCTTAGGCAACCCATTTGCGGTATATTTACAAACATATGTTATTTAATAAAAAGAAACTTTCATCCATTAAACAGATGGGTGAAGGTCGACCTTACTTCGGATCTTAGACCATTAATAGTACCTTGATTTCAGAGATTTGCCATCGTAAAAACGAGGAGAAAGAGGGTAGAAATCAATTCAAATCCTGTTTTTCTTTAAAAATGACTGCAATACCTTTAATAATAATATCTGTTTTTATTTTAATAAAAGTATATGTCAACGACATTCAGCTAAAATAATTTGGCTGATTGATTACTTAAGAAATTGATTAACTATTTGAAATCAGTATTTTAAGCACGCCTAAGTTGGTTGCTCATAAAAAATGAAAGTCGAAGAAACTCATATACATACAATTAACTGAATCAATACACTTAAAAATATTAATAACAATAAAAAGGAATTGTAATTAGTAATTATGATGTCCTCGATAAGCCTTAAAAGGACGTATAATAAAGTTTGACACTATTATGGGTTTTATTGTCAAAAAGAATGGCTACAATTTCTGATTCAATGTTAAAACATGCTAAAAACAGATATTAAATACACTGAAATAAATTAGATTGTATTGTTAAATTGCTAGTATTAAAATAACTATTTATGATAAAAATTAATAACGCAATAGCTTGTTTCGTAAACAGTGACTTCCTGTTATTTGCGGATGAACTTAGGTTTCTTTCACATAACTGATGACAAAAAAATCTACAGGATCTATTTTGTCTTTTGAAAAAAATACTTTCCTTGCCTATGGAAAAGTAATAAAGAAATACATTCGTAACGTCAAAAATAATTTCTTATTGAAAATAATGGATTTTTTTCTAATTTTTAGAGTAAAATGGGAAATTTCGTAATAAGCTATCCCCATCGAAAAGCAGACATCAGACGTCAGCTGATTGTTCCGAAATCGACGCCATTTCCTTGCAGAAATATGACCAAAATCGGCTTAGGAAGATCGCTTACAGTGCCAACTAGCGTTCATCGACTTAGACCAGGAGACATCGATATTATCGCAGCTATGGGCGATTCGCTGGTAGCTGGAAATGGTGCTATGGAGGAATACGCTCTAGGAACTATCATAGAACATAGAGGAGTTTCTTGGTGCGCAGGTAGATAAATATGGAAATAGAAATAGGCACATTTATGGGTTGGTGTTTATATAATTAAGTAGGCATCATAAATTATAGTCACTTTAGATAAAAATGGACTGTAATAACGCATCGCAATTTTCAATCTTATTAACGTCGAAACAATTAGTAATGGTGTTTTTTAACAAGAAAACATTGATTTATCATTTCAGTCATTACCCATTTGCAAATTGGGATTGAAATACCATTTTTGATTAAATTTCCCACCTAAATTTACCCTATTCGCGATTCAAATTAATTTTCGCACGCCTGACATTTGTCACCTATAAGTAGGATGTTTGTTTATTTACATTGCGTTTGTTTTGGGAGCAATTTTGTATTTGTGATTTTTTACCTGCTTTTAGATAATATTCTCATTATAATAGTGTTTTCGAGTTTCATTTAGTGTTAATTTGAGTTTAGTTTTCGGGCTTTTGTCAGAAATATAATATTTATCAGGTATTATGACCAATTTGATGGAAATCTGATTGCTACATAAACATCTAGTAATATTTATTTACTAAACGCAGAACATGTTTTATTATGCGGTTTAAAGGACATTTCAGGTACCTAACATTTATTATTGATAAACTTAATTAAAAATCCTACTATCCATATTCTTGTATTATGAAATGGTGTAGTACTTTGCCCAGATAGCACACGACGTCTGAAAGACGTCTTTTTTGTGTCTTGGTTTGGTCTCAATGCCCTAGGACATTATTAAGACGTCTTATAAGATGTCTTGCAAAAGCTATAATTCAAAAGTATTAATATGAGAGCTCAAAGACGTTCTTAAGACGTCTTAAAGAAGTCTTCTCTTTCAAAATCCTTTATTAAAAAACTTATGTACAATAATTTACATTAAATATCATATAATACTTTATTTAATAGGGGGACTTCCAACAGTGCTTCGGAAGTGTGACCTGCCTATTAGTTCGTCCTCATCGAGGCTCGCCGTTGTTCTGGCCTAGTATTAAGATGTTATTTTTGAGCATTTGTGTCTAAATAGGCATCTCCTTGTTAATAAACATTATATGCCTTTTATGTGGGCTAGCAAGATCGATAATGGTGTTTGAGTGAGTTTTTGTCTGAATTTAATTGTGTGTGTCTTCCCTGAAAAACGTATAAAAAACAGGGTTGTCCTTGTATGTGTGTTCGTCTCATGTTAGTCTTTGTACGTGAGAAAGCCAAATCCACAGACTACACAATAAAATCCCTATTCAATATCGACTTCGGAGCGCTAGCCGCGAATTCTGCATTGAATAGTGACGTCACCGTGCAGTCTTCCGTCCGACTAGAGTTGATAGCTAGCCGGCTTCGGGATTTGGCTATTCAGTGTAATACTCGCTGCTGTGAGTTAGTAGCAGCGCCCAGTCCACGTCTTATCGTTAGCTGAGGGCTGTATTAGTCTCGTCTGTAAATTGTGAGGGCTTTATGCAAACATCCATGTTTTCTGCTTGCACCATCTCCTTCATAGATCGAGTTTATGTCTTCCTTAAGGGAACTGGGTATACAATTGTTATAAAATTTGTTGGATATTCGGAGGATGTGTGCTTTGACAGTTTCCATGGATGTTTGCATGTGCATGTCTTGAATTCTAGCATAGCGGTCATACCCCAATGCCAGCCTCAGACACCTGTTCTGTATTCTTTGTAGCTTGATGTAATGACATTCAGCCATTGAGCAGAAGACAGGACCTCCATATGTAAGGATAGGGCGCAGTACTTGTTTGTATAGTAGGAGTTTATTGTCACAAGTGACTCCGCTCCTTCTATGCAAAAGTGGATATAATATTTTGATTGCTGCCGTAGTTTTTGCTACCCTATCATTTACATGTTGCCGGAATGTCAGTCTCCTATCTAGTATTATGCCTAAGTATTTGAGTTCGTTTTTAGCCTCGATGGCTTGACCTTGTACTTTTAGTTTATTAATGATCCTATCCGTCTGTTTATATGATAGTATGAGGCTCTCAGTTTTGCTTGGATTTATTTTTATTTTATTACTGTTAAGATAGGGGACTAACATTCTATTGACATGGATGTCCAGTCTTCTGTTCGCAATTTCAGCAGACTGTGATGATTTGAAGATACAGGTGCTGTGTCTGTATACCATTGTGTCCCATTGGCATATCATGAGTCATTATGGTATACAGGTGCGGCGCTAATACTGATCCCTGAGGTACACCCGCCATGGCTGTGTATGGTCCTTTACGTGTGTTGTTTATTTTAATGAAAAATTGTCTGTTTTGTAGGTATGTTTGTATTGTTTTAACAATGTACACAGGGTAGTCATTCATAAATATTTTGTGGATTAATTCATCAGTCCAGACTGTGTCGAAGGCCTTTGAAGCATCCAGTGTAACTAACGCCGTTTGTTGATTAGCATTATATCCTTTTTTAGCTTGATGAGCAATTCGGATTACTTGAGCTACTGTGCTGTGGCCGGCCCGAAACCCAAACTGTTCTGGCGGAATAATTTGTTTGTCGAGTTCGTATGTATGTATTCGTTTTAATATTACTTTGTCCGTTATTTTCGCTAGTCCATTTAATAGTGAAATGGGGCGGTAACTTTCAATTAATTCTTTCTTTTTCCCTGGTTTGGGTATCGGTATAATATTGGCTACCTTAAGGGCTGGAGGGTAGTGTTGGAGTCTTAGTACTCCATTAATTAGATGATGTAACTGTACTATAGTTTTTTTGCTAATGTTCTTAAGCAATTTATTACGGATGTCATCGGGTCCTGGAGCCCTCTTACTAGGCGATCTTTTGATTATATCGTGGACTTCAGAAGGATTAGTTAGTGCACTATTAGGTATTTTTTGAATTGGCATTTCATTAATGTCCTCAGTTAGGTTTTGTATTTCATCTTGTTCATGATTATTTAATTGTGGGTTTATAAAATTATCCTGGAAGAATTCGCCGAACGCATTCCCTTTCTGGTCGTCCGTTACGTAAACGTTGTTATTGTGTCTCAGTGTGGGAAGTTGCGAGAAAGGCTTTCTAAACCTCCTCACCATTTTCCACACTGAATTGTCATGTATGTTGATGTCTTCTAGGGTTTTTCTCCATATCTTGTTACGATGTTCATTAATTTCATTGTTGATGTGTTTGCCTAACTGAATCATGTTAACCCTATCGTCATCTTGTCTGTGGGCTTGCCAGCGCCGTCTGATGTAGTTCTTGTGCGTAATGAGATCTAATATCTCTTGAGGAAGATTATCTTTTTGTGTTTTGCGCGTAACTTTCTTGGTTGTAAGATCTCTAGCTTTAATTATGGCTTTGGTTAGCTTATTATATTCTTCCTCAAGAGTATTTTTGTTTGTGATGTTATTGTTTATGTGGATGTTTTTGTCAAGGATTTGTCTGTATTTTGTCCAGTTTGTTGTGTTGTAATCGTAGTACTGGCCCTGTATTCTGGGGATCAAGCGTGTTGTCTTAATCTCCAGATATACAGGGTCATGGTCTGATGTAAGTTCTTTAATAGTCCTTGTGTTGTCTATATTCGGAATGTCCTTAGCAACGGCTATATCCAGGGTACTTGGCATGTGATTGTTTTGGAAAGGGAAATACGTAGGGTCTTCCGGATAATGTATGATGCAGTCGTTGTCATCGGCGAATTCATCCAGGTTTTTACCACTTTTATTAGGTATAGTACAATTAGCGTCCCAATGTGGGTGTTTACAATTGAGATCACCTAGTAGGAGGACTCTATTTCCCGATGTCATAATAGAGTTTAGTTCTAATTTGGTAAAAATATTATTCGGTGGGTTGTATACTCCTACAAATGTAATTTCTTGAATTTTTACAATAATATGTTCTTGTGTTATGTTGATATTATTAATTTGCATGAATGGAATTTTGTTACTTATTATGAAAGCGATACCGCCCCCTCTCTGCCCTTGTCTGTCTTGTCTTAAGACATTATACTCTTGTATTTTTAGCGAATGTGTGTCATTGTAGTATGTTTCTGTAATGAGTACAATGTCAAATTTATGTTTATGAATGAAACTGCGAACAAGTGCAGTTTTGTTGCGCATCCCGCGTGCATTGAAGAAACAAATTTTGAGTTTTTGTGTGTTTTTTGAATGAAGTTCAGTTCCTAAGTCTGTATTGATTGTCAACGTCCTCATAAACGCGTTGTAAGTCTCTATAATTTGCTGTCCATTTAAGCACTGTTTGAGTGCAGCGTTAAGCGCTCTAATCGCCCTTGTTAGCTCACCCATATTTATAAGTTTGTTCAGCTCTGCGAGTTCCTTATTGAGAGATGTCACGTCATTCATAGTTGAGTTTGGATATTGAACTCTTGATGAATCAGTTGTGGTGGCCTCTACTGATTGTTGTCTATTATTTCTATGAGTTAACGCTGGAAAATCTTCAGTTTTTCTAGCATTATTGTTTTTTCTAGCTTCCCATTGGTTTATTGTGGGTGGGGGAGCTGGTATTAGCTTCCTTTGTTGTACAGGCCTTCTCTCTTCCAACCTCGTTACTCTTTCGAGGTAGGATTTGCATTTAGAGTAGTTTGCGGGGTGATCACCCCCGCAGTTAACACAAGTCGCAGGTGTGTCTCTAGACTTGACACACGTGCGTGTGTGGTGATCCCCCGCGCACTTAACACAACGTGCTGGTTTACCACAGTTTGGCATGTATGGCACTGTATGATTTGCTTAACTGACTTCCTTAACTCCCAGGTCACTCTGGTGTGCAGGACTCTTCTGATGTTCTTATTTAAGTACTCCAGAGTGATAACCGGGTCAGTGACTACCAGGTAGAGGGGACGCTCTTTAGTTTTCATAGTATAAATTTCTCTAGCAACTATTTCATGGTCATCTTCGAGATTCTCTTTTATGTCCTGTATTTTCGTGTTCTCAGCCAGTCCTCTGAGCACGAATGCATGTGATTTTTCGCTATATGCAGTGTAGGTATGGTAGGCCATTTTCTCGCTCTTCACATTGTTAAGGACTTTTTCGTAGTCTTCTTTTCCCTCTACAAAG